CTGTCAGGGTAGAGACACCAGCACACTCCTCCACTCAGCAATCTCCTGATTTTTTGCAGACCAAATGCCACACAAGATGGTCTTCAAGTCCCTTCCCACCCAAGTTATTCCATGATCCTACAGCACTCGGAGATGTCCCAAAACATGTTGAAATGAAGAAACCACAACATTAAATTACTCTCAGGGACAGTGGTTCATTCCCCCATCTGGCATCAAACACCTTTTTTCTCCATCCACTCTTGGAAAAGCCAAAAGGAACTTCAGCAGTGACCACCCCCCGCACCAAATTCTCTCCTTGCATGGTGCCAGTCTGCAAATAGAACATCCAAAAAATCCTTTCCATTTCCTGGTCACCCTAAGCCCCCTCTATTTCTTAGCCAAACTCTTAATTTACAAAGAGCAGTGGCTATAACAAAACAAGTCTGGGTAACTCGGGGTCAGCACTATTTTTTGAGACGTTTCCTTTTCTTGCAGGATCTTGATGTGTTGTGTCTCCATCACCTCCTGCATCTCCACCCTATGTTTGAAGGGTGTGTGGTGCCAGATTCAGGGTGGTATAAACAAGCAGATCTCAGCTTGTTGAAGTAACTCACTCTTTTGTTTTCTTTGACCTGGGGGCTGCTTTTTTTTTTTTTTTTTTTTTGTGGTAAGAATAAAACAATCATTTCAGGGCAGAGGAAATTTTAATATCTCTCCTCCCAAAATAGCACCAGAGAAGAATGAAGATCTTCTAGCCTGAAGAACTTGGAGATAGGAGGCTTTTTATAGCCATCATTATTTATTACTTAATTTTCCGTGCCCAGGTAAAAGTGGGAAACTTTTCAAACAGTCTCGTTTTATCCCTTTCTCATGCTATTCATAAATTTTTCAGCAAGAGCTCTGTAGGCAGCAAGTCCATTCCCTGAATGAACATCCATTGCCTGGAGGGTGGACTCCTCTGAAGCATTCATGGGATCCCATAAATACAACAGGACCCCATAAATCTGAGCAAAAAGGAAGAAAAACAATTCTTATGAAGCACAGCAAGGGACTACCTTGTTTGTTTACCATGAAAGCACAGCACAATTCATGTTTTCTCTCCAAGAAATTGGAATTATTTCCTTAAAGGTGCTGTTACAATAGGAAAATAGTTCCTTGATGCCACAGTGGGATAAGGAAAAAGCAAACTGAAAACCCTAAAGGATGGATCCTTGGATCTTAGAATACTGAAAATGGGATTTGTGAGACATAAAGCTTTTCTGTTTGGTTTTATTTGGAGCTGCTGACCCTGGGTTTATTTCTGGAGTTGCCTTTGCCCATCAGGGATGGAGACAGGTCTTCCTGGGGTTCCTGCAGGACGGTTCATGGATGGTTCCTTAGCGTGCACCAGGACATCAAAGCCATCCCACAGCCCACATTCCCAGCAGCCAACGTTTTCCACGGGGAAGGGTTGTGCAGGTCCCAGTAGCATGGGAAGTACCAATTAATTTTTACACAAAATTCAACCTCTAGCCTCACTGTGCAACCATCAGCCCAGAGTGGGAAGTTTAGGCATTCCTCATGGATGGGAGAATAAAGAACTTCTCCAGGTGCCCATCTCAGGGTGAGCAGCTAATTTTGGCCTCTCTGTGTGTACAACATTGTTTTCTCCAGCAGGGATTTGCTAAAAATAAACAGGTATCCAGGGAAGAGGGTGTGAAGGCAGCTGTTTCCATGGGCAGAGGCCAACGCTGAGGTACCCAAGCTGAAAACACAGCGAGGATCAGCTCTGGGCCAGGTCACACGAGCAGGCTCAACCCAGATCTGGTGTTTGCTTTTGAACAAGATCTAGGTCAGGAGGACCCACCAAGGAACACCAGCAGCAGCTTTCCCCCTCTTTGCAAACCACTCTGCTCCTCTCTTCCTCTCTTTGGGAATTGTTGTGGATTTCATTCAGCTTTTGCAGCCCTCAAAACGTGCAACAATAGTGGGATAGCGAAGCTGAGGAAGCTGGAGAGCAGGAACAATAGCTGATGTCACGTTCTTTCCCCTTCCACCTCACCTCACTCCTTCTCCAGGAAGCCTGACCTCTCTGTTGGGTATTTTCCAGGTTGTTGACCTGATTTTTCATCCCAAGGGAAACACGAGGCTGCAGGCCACAGCAGTGGTGTGAAATGTCTCCCTTTGTTGGCTGAAAGAGTCTTGGGGGCAAAATGTGCTTAAATCACATCCTGGGAATATCCCTTTTCCCTCTCCTCTCCCACCATAGCTTTGCTGTGCTCCTGAGGCTTTTGAATGCCTGGGCAGGCTCATGGAGATGAAGAGGAGATGGAAGGAGCCAACACAGCACCCAGATGTTGCAGGGAAAGGTTGCACTGTCTCCTTCCTTATGTGAGTGTTGGAAGTAGGGGGGGCTTGGGAAAACCCTCTGGAAGCTGGTGGTTCATGGACTGGCATGGGACAACCAGCAGGAGCTCTACAGGAGACTGTCCCACCCAGCAAATGACATGAGAAGCAGGAGGGAAGCATTTTTAGGATCCTTCTAGAGGGAAGCTAAGGGTTTTTAGCAATCCTGTGCATTTTCCTTCAGCTCCTGTTGCTGGTGCTGCCTTAGCAAGCTCAAAGCGTGTCGAGGGGCTCAAAAACCAGGGAGAGTTTAGGATTGGGATGGTGCCAGCTCCTTGTCAGCACAACCTGTGCCGTGGGGACGTGTCTGTACATGGAACCATCAGAACTTTATCAGGGCCAGCTAAAACACTTCCAGGTGACTGCAGGGCAGCTGGGCCACAGCTCAGCATATTTATTTATCTTGTCTTTACTCTGTGGCAGCGAGCAAAGTCCAATTTGGTTTTTGGGGAAAAAAGAAAAGAACACTTTGGAACGTGTTCTCATCCACACCAGGTTAAAAGCGAGGTGGGAGTGAGAGCCCCTGAGTGTTTCCCACTGGATTGGGGTCCTTTGGGAAGGGAAAAGGAGCTTGCTCCAGGCAGCCCCATGTCTCCATCACACCCCAAAGCTGCAGATTTTGGGCTTTATGCTGCTGCTGGCAAATGCTGCTGTAATTAAAATAAGATGCAGACAAAGGGTCTTATCCCACTCTCCACCAGGGATGAGGAGCTGGGGTGATTAATGGGATGGACACAGTGCAGGGAGCTCGTCACAGATTAGCACTGGGGGATGGGGATTAATGTCCTGGGGGGGAATGAGAGCCTCCACTGCAAATTCAGTTCTCCTTAATGCTTACTCAACCTCGAGTCATGCCATGGGGCAGCTCTTCCTTCCCCCGGGGGTGGGTGGTGAGGCAGGAGGATGCAGGAGGAGCAGGATGTGTTCCTCTCAGCTGAGCCATGTGTGATTAACGGGTTTCCAGCCATGTGCCCCTCATGGTCCATTAAAGCCTGGCTCCAGCTCCTTCCTTGTGTTGTGATGACCTCAGTCCTTTACGGCTCCTTGGAGGGTTTCTGTGCAGGACAAAAATCCCTAAAATCCCTGCTCCTGCACCCTGGAAGATGAGGGTGCTGGCTCAGTGTTTTGGCAATGGTGACACATCAGTAAAATAGAAGACTGGGAAGGCTGGGGAAAAGGTGTCAGAGGCCAGGCAAGGCTGGGATCTCTGGGCAGAGCAAGATAAGGCAGAGGAGGCAAAACTCCCTGAATTTCTGGTGTGAAGAGAATAAAGGGTGTCTGTAAGGATGGTTGTGCTGGTATTAGGACACAGCCAGCACAGAGGGGTGCTGGTTGTAAAGGGGGGTTATTTTTTGGGGATATCAAGAAAAGAACTATGTGGGGTGCTGGTGACAGAGGGGTGCCCAGATGGGGCTGTGGTGCTTTTGGGAGGGGTCCCATGGGGGGTGCAATGCTGAAGGCACACGGGGAGCCAGGGCATGTCTGTGTGCTGTTGGGTTGTTTAGGGGGGCAATATTTTGGGGAGACCAGGGTACATCACTTTGTGGAGCTCCAGGACACATCATCCCTCGGGACTCTGCGGGATATCTCTGTGTCCCCCTGCTCCTCCGGACTCTGTGTCACCCATCCCCGGAGGGTTTTGTGTCACCCATTCTCGGGGGACTCTGTGTCACCCCTCCCTGAGGGCTTCAGGGGGTTCCAGGGGACTCTGTGTCACCCCTGCCCGGAGATCCCAGGGGTATTCAGGGAGATCCCTTGTCCCCTTCCCCGGGGTCTCACAGGTCCCTTGTCCCCATCCCCGAGATCTCAGAGGATCCCTTGTCCCCCTCCCCGGGGTCCCTTGTCCTCCATTCCCGGGGGTCTCAGGGGTTCCTTGTCCCCCATTCCCGGGATCTCAGGGGTACCTTGTCCCCCATTCCCGGGGTCTCAGGGGTCCCTTGTCCCCCATTCCCGGGGTCTCAGGGGTCCCTTGTCCCCCATTGCCGGGGGTCTCAGGGGTCCCTTGTCCCCCATTGCCGGGATATCAGGGATCCCTTGTCCCCCATTCCCGGGATCTCAGGGGTCCCTTGTCCCCCATTCCCGGGGGTCTCAGGGGTTCCTTGTCCCCCATTCCCGGGGTCCCTTGTCCCCCATTCCCGGGATGTCAGGCATCCCTTGTCCCCCATTCCCGGGGGTCTCAGGGGTCCCTTGTCCCCCATTCCCGGGGTCTCAGCGGTCCCTTGTCCCCCATTCCCGGGGTCTCAGGGGTCCCTTGTCCTCCATTCCCGGGGGTCTCAGGGGTCCCTTGTCCCCCATTCCCTCCCAGGGACTCCCTGGCATCGGACGAGCCCACGCCCCGTCGTGGGGGGGACATCAGCTGTGGGGGCTGGACGCGCCCAAGAGCGAGCGTTGGGGGGGGCGTGAGGGGTGTGTGAGCAGAGGGCTGGACTTGGACCAGCCCATTCCTGCCGGAGGGGTGACCAACGTCATCCCCGCTATATTTGCTCCCAGCTAGGGCCGCTGCCCAAGAATTCCCAACCGCATTGCCTGCGAGAGGAGAAAAAACTCGGGATAAATCCTGCGCGGACAGAAAAGCTGGGAACGGAAGGAGCGGTGCGGGTGTGCCATATCCTTCCCCCCCCCGTGCCGAGTGGTGCGCGCGGCGCGGGGCGGGGCGCGGGGCCGCAGTGGCGGAGCCGCTCCGTTCCTCCGGCGCATCGCGGTCGCCATGGCGCTGTGCGGCCGCTCCGCGCTCCTCCCGCCGCCCCAGCGGCACCGGCCCCGGCCCCGAGCCCCGGGGCCTTTCGTCAGGTACCGGAGGGGCAGCGGGGAAGGCGAGGAGAGGGGTGACAAGCAGCGGCAGGGCTGCGCTGAAGGGGCTGTGGGGTGGGGAAGGGCTGTGTTGGAGGGGCGCTGAAGGGGGGATGTGGAGGGTTTGGATGGAGTGAGGAGGGATTTGGTGTGCGAGGTTTGGTGTGCGAGGATTTGCTGAGCTTTTCACGGCTGTGGCCCTGCTCGTGGAGGAGGAAATGGGGTTCAACGCCTGTTTGGGGGCGTTGGGGTGTGAGGGATGCGGGGCGCAGCATGGGGGTGCAGAAGTGCGCTGGAATAGAAGAATTGGGGTAAGGTTTTAAGGGTTAGGATGATGATTTAAGGGGAAGGTGGGGTGTTCGCAGAGCTGGCGGTGCTGATTTGGGGTAAAACAGGGTTTAACGCCTGATAGAAGGCGTTGGGGTGGGAAGGATGGGGTGCACGGTTTTGGGGTGGGACAGAAGGGATGGGGCATTAAGGAGAGGTTTTCTGGCGTGCCTCGGCACTGAGCTGTGGAGGGTGTTGTTGTCGGGTTTGGGATCATTAAGGGATTTTTGGGGGGTGGGAACGAGAGGGAAAGGCTTGGCCATGATGGGGACAGGTAGATTTGGCAGGTGGCTACCGGGTGGGAGGTGTTGGTGGCCCAGACAGGGGCCTGATGTGACCTTGTGGATGGAGGGATTGTCACAGGCGGAATCCTGCTGAAGGAGGGTGAGTGGGAGGCTGTGATGGATGAAGAGCAGCAGGACATCACGGGGGGCTTGGAGCAGGGCTGGTGTGCAAAGGTTGGGTTTGGGGTTGTGTTTCTCTAGGAGATAAACCTGGGACTGATTCGGGAGGGGGTCAGCGTGGGATGTTTTGGCAATAAGGGAAAAAAAAAAGGCATGTGAAAGGCAGGAAAAGTGAATTAGGATAGGGATGGCTGAGGTTTGGGGTGGGTTGAGGGATTATGGAGGGAAAGAAGAGGCTGTATTTGTGTGGGCACCTGCTGGGGGGTTTGTGGATACAAAGGTAATAAAATTTCCTGAGCTCTGAAAATATGTTGGGTTGGGCTTGACAGGAGCTAGGGTGTGGGGACATGTGAGATGGTGGCATTGGCTCTGTGGGAGCTCAGGTGTCAGCTCAGGTATCCTTAGGTTGCCAGAGCTCTGTTTCCTTTTGGAGACTTAAGGTGCACCCATGTGTATGGGGCTGCAGCCCATTATCTGAAGGGTTTGAATACAGCAAACGGCCTCAAGTTGTGCCAGGAGAGATTTAGGTTGGATGTTAAGAAATATTTCTCTGCTAGGAGGATTGTCCAGCACTGGAACAGGTTGCCCAGGGCAGTGGTAGAGTCTCCAGGTATTTAAAAGGCAGTTAAAAAACATTTTTGTGGTGCTTAGTGACGAGGTTTAATGATGGCTTTGGCAGTGCTGGGGTAACGGTTGGACTCGATGGTCTTGGAGAGCTTTTCCAACCGAAATGATTCCATCATTCTGTTTTATGGAACCACAAAGGACAGCCCAGGAACTGAAATGCTTGATGCTTTCAATAGTTCCAGCACAATACATGGAAGTATTCAGCAGTGGGAAGCCAGATAATCAGGGAATGGAGACCTTGCACGTGAATCGCAGACAAACACTTGGCCAAGCTACCTGGGTCTGTGCTTGCTGTAGATTTTCTATTAAAAAACAAACAAACACCAAAACCAAACAGCTTTTTATCTTATATACAAGGAGGGAACAAAAGCATTTTCACTTTTTGGACAATTTGCCAGTGAAATGAATTCTGCAGTGAGAGAGGGAGAAATGGAGCTTGTTCTGCTGGCTCAAAACACGTGAACACGGCTGGTTATATTCCCTCTCTTCCTTTTTGAATTGAAAATAAGACAGAAAGAAAAATGACCTTTTCATATAATTTTTTTTTTTCACGGAATAAATCAATCTTAATTATTTAGAAAGAGCTTAGTATTTCTTTAGTGCTGTAAAGAATCTGAAAATTCATGATGGGTAACGAAATGCCAAGATGGTAAAAAAAAAAAAAAATGCTGAGAGAGAAAATGGTTTCCACTCAAGCCTTCCTCTTCCTGAGTGATTTTTGTAATCTGAGACCTTGTTTTAGAGTTGTCATGAGAACATTTAGACTCTCTGAACATCTGCAAGCTTTTGAGCTCCACTGGGAGATGCAGCCAGCAACTGTAATTTGGTGCATTTGTAGGAGCCATGTCATCTGTTAATTTTTTTTCCTCCTTAACATTCATTCTTGTGCATGCAGTTCTTTTAAATTTTTTTTTTTATTGTCAGGCCAGATGGTGGCCAGTGTTTGCAATAAATTTCCCAGGCAGTCAGCAGATAGAAGGCAGTTAATAAAAATAACTTAAAACAAAACAATCTGTTACCCTCCTCCCCCTGCCCCCAAGTTCCCAAAGAGGAATGGAAAAATTCTTCAGACTATATAAAGACTAGAGAAAGAGCCAGAGATAATTCTTGGAGTTCTTCCACATACTTGAGAGTTTTGGACTGCCATGTGGCACCTTGGGAGCTGGCGACCCTCGGCATTGTAACAAGTAAAGAATGGGTTTGGAAATAGAAAGAAAAAAAATCCCCTAAGTAAGAGAGAAGTGCTGCCCCAAAAGGGGGAAGTCTTTTTAGGAGGTGATGTCATCTTTCATGTGCCTGTGTTTAGTGGTAAAGAAGTGTTTTCCTTGTGAATACATGAATTTCTTAACAGAATTCCTATGAAGAGTTTGTTTTAAATGTCTGCATCAGAAAATCAATGCAGATTTGTTCTATTTCAGAGCGCTCTGCATCCATCCAATCTGAATTACCTTTATGTAAAACACAGTAAGCAAATCCTCATTATTCATTATCCATGGTGGTAACATAATACAGATGAGTTCTCACCATGTGTCCATGTGGGGAAATGCAAAATGAGTCCTTGGGTTAATTTTTCTGTTGTCTCTTCCTCTGTGCTTAACATTCTCCTGCTCTAAACTGTTCTGTTGTTAATCTCATCGTGGTTAAATATGTGGCTTTTTTTTTTCCATGAATGGGATATTTGGAAGCACGGGACCAAAGAGTTGTTGTGGTTTCCCAACCAATTTTTGTGATGCAAGATTAGCAAATTTTTCTGTGCTCGTGTCTTCCTTATGTAATTATGCCGAGGTTCAGGATTTTGTAAGAGCTCAGTTGCATTGGAATTATTTTATTTTTTTTTTTTAGGGAATGTGCTGTATTTTAGCAATGCAAAGAGAAAGCAGATTTAACTTGAAGTACAGGAGGAAAAAAAGAGAAACAACCACCATTCTTTGAATGTGGATGGTTTTCTGCCACCTTAGGAAAATAAGAATGCTTAGGGTCTTTCTACAGTGAAAATTGAGGGGTGTGGAACCATTTGATTGATGGGAATAGAGAGGTAGAAGGGAAATTTGCCACGGGGAGGAGCAGAGCTATGGTGTGCACCTTTCAGCTGGAATTCTCCCTTTGTGATCATCTCAACATCTGATTTGGAGCTTTGTGGCCTCATGGCTCCAGAGGTTGTGGCCCAGGAATGAGCCCTGAAGGTGAATTTAGTCTTGAGACACACTGAAAATCAACTTTGATTTCTGTCCAAGTGCCTGGCAGTGCCCTGTCCTTTTAATCACAGTGAGTGATAGCAGAATAACCACCCTCGAGCTGCTTGTCTTTGTCACTTTTTCAATTATTGTCATTTTCTCAGCTGATAATAATTTTGGAAGGGAATAGTTGATGCTCTCCATAATGCAACACAAGAAAATGAAAATACAGACATGGTTTTTGTAAATCAGCCTGTTAAGGAGAGAGAACATCAAGGCTGAGGGTCTGACTGGTGTGTAAGTGATGGGCAACCCAACATGTACTAAATATCCTCAAAAAGTTTGTGATTGTGCAGAACGATATCAGGCAGTTCCAGATGTTTAGTAAGGAGAAATTCAGGCTTTTTCCTGTGTGTTTTGAGGTCTCTGGAGTACAGAATTGAATATTCCTGTCCACTTAAGGTCAAGATTTGGTCCCGAAAATGCACACAAACTTAAAAATTATTTATCTATGTCCAATTTTTCCATGCTGTTCCTAAAAAATTACTTTATCTTCTATTTATAGTCAAAATCCCTATGCTCACTGTAGAGAAATTTACAAAATAGCTGGGAAATTGTTGTATATTTTAAGGTAGGTGAATGTTGTCTTTTAGGAGTGCCAAGCAGTGAAGGAGTTATTTTGAAATCAATGAAATTCCGAGAGTCTTTAGCTCTATCTGACTTCTGGTGTCTGTTTTCACAGCTACAGTAAGGTGGGAATAATGTCAGACTGTGAGAAATCTAGGAAAATCCTGGATTCTTAACACAAGCAGGCAACATTTCTGATAGAAATCATGCAGTCAACAAAAGACTCGAGAAATATAAACTTGATTTCTCAGGGACTAAAATAGAAACAGATGTTCACAAGGAGACTTGGGGAAAAAAACCCTGTGATTTATAATTCTATTTAATTTATTTATTTATGGTAAATTGGGCTGTTACTGGTAAAACCATTGAGTTTGGTGGGCAGCACAAATTTATTCATGGTGAGGATTTTTCCTAATGTGGGGATTCTCCCTGGTTTGCCAGGGATATCTCTGATTTTCCCTGCCATCCATCCATCCATCCATCCATCCAACCCTGGCCACGTGCGGGTTTTTAGGGCTGCCAAGCCTTTGTGGGGGAGGAGCAGCATCTGCCAAGATCGAAATCCCAGCATTTGTCAGCTGAATTGGGCACAATTAAACACAGCTGCAGCCCTGCCAGGCTGTGGGGATCCACTGGGAACTGGGAATCCACTGGGAATTGGGAATCCACTGGGAATTGGGAATCCACTGGGAATTTTGCAGGGATCTGCTGGTTCTCAGCTTCTTTTTCCTGCCTCTGTCAAGGTTGAGATTGACAGCACTTGAGATGATATTTTGCATTCAGGCTTAGTTGTTAATTATTTCTTTTTTATATTACAAATTGTGAGTTCTACAGCATTCCA